AGAGTTCAGGCCCCACGACTGGACCCAAAACCCCCCCCAAAAAAAAAAGATTAGAGAGAGCTGACCTTATTTCTCCTACTAGGTTGGAATATTCATGGATTTGTTTAGGTTAAGATTAAGTTTGGGGACAGGCACTGAAAATGTTGCATGGAGGTTTCTTTTATTTGGTGGAATTCTATCAAGAAATCAAGGCAAGTGACTTAACATATTAAGGAATGATCCTCATTATCATTATAGTTAACAATTACTGATCATTTACACCATAACACACAAGGTCTCTTTTCATCCTCACATCTAACCTTCACAAGAATCTCATGCAGTTACCTTGAGAAATTCTGTAGTCACTGGAGCTCTGTTAAGTGCACAGCTAAGTGCTCTGCTAAGTTCCTTAGCTGTTGTTTCTCTCTAGACACAGCTGCATGACTGTGGCCTCAGTGCAGTGTGACAGTAACATTAGATTTACTTGGCTTTAGGATCATGTGGATGCATATACTGATCCTTAAGCCTGTACCAGTTCTCTGACTATATGGTGGTACCTCTTGGCATCCCCTATTTTGAATTTAGGGAAGAATGGCTATAGACAGAAAAAAATATAATAGAAAATTCTGGAATATAAATGGAGGTTTGTTTGTAAGCTAATCAACTATTAAGTCCTGTCAAGGTAATAATTAAAGTTGACTAAGTTCACAGTTCCTTTTTTCTTCTCCTCTTTGAATGGTCTTGGAGATGGCTCTTCTAGACAACAAAAAGACCCATAAATACCTAAAATGTCTTCACCTTGCTTTTCAATATGACAACATATTGAGATGAAAAAGCTTAAAAATTTTTTTTTATTCCAGCTCAAGTTTGAGCCAGGGCATATTCCAAGTCAAAAAGACATTATTAACTTTATCATTTTAACCTCAGGCTCCCCTTTACCCCAGAGTCTCTTAGATGAAACCTCAGATACTAATGGGGAGGCGAGGCTGCTCCTCCAGAAAAATCTCTTAGGATGGCTAAATCTTTATCCTTACGGATGGTAATCTAGCCCTGAAACCAAATGGCAAAATACTTTTACCTACTTTTTTTTACCTGTAGCTACACAAACAAGAATCAGATCCTTTTTTGTTCAAGACAGCAGCTCAAAAATTGCTTATTATAAGAGATGATTGTTGTGTTGTTCACTGCACTTTTTTGTGTTCCCTGAGTTTTACAGCTCCAGTGGCACGTGTGGAGAAGGTGACAATTATCAAGGCAATTATGGCATCAGGGCATCGTTTTCTGAAGTGGTTGTGACTTCCAAGTCCTTCCATTTTCCTTATGAAATCTGAGTCACTCAAGTAGTTTCCTTTCTTACTGCTGCTTTTTTTTTCTTGCTTCCTTCTTTGTGTGTGTGTGAGCCACTGTACCTGAAAAAAAATATTTGAAGCTAGTTGATACAAATTCCATCATTATTCTGAAGGAAGTGAATAGCAAATTTCCTTTCTTCAATTTAGTAATGAGCCGTTGATATTATATATTAGATAATGTAAATAGCATATACAGATCAACACATAAGAAGAGAGGGTGGGTTAAGAACCAACTCAATGGTCCTTGTAACCCTTGATCAGAATAAGATGTGGCAGAATATGCCTGACATGAAAGGTTGGTCTTTCAACTTCTTTCTCCTCAAGATTAAGGAGGAGATTCCTATGGAAATAGTTAGAAAGCTTGTAATAGGTTTCTTGCTATTGGGAGACTCAGAGAACTTGAGAAAGCTACAGCCATTGAAGATATCAACCTGAGATAGAAAAAAAAAAAACACCTAATGGTGTGAGAGGTAGATTACAACACAGGCTGATCATTGTTAGGAGAAATCCATGGTTAGATGACAGAGAGTTATTAGAATATAAACTCCCCAAAGGCAAACAGCACAATTATTTCACCTGATATAACATTTTCAGTGCCTGGCATGGAGCCTGGAGTAGGATAGTAACTCCATAAGTAGTCAGCAAATAGATAGCACTGTTCCAGTGGATTGACTTCATTTCTGAAATTAGTTTTAGGTTCCTTGGGAGAGAAGATGGTTAAACTAAAACATCTTCCTACTGGGTACTTAGTATTAGGTGTTCTCAGCCAAGTGTCTCAGGAGGCTGAGATCTGAAGATTGCAGTTCAAAGCTAGCCGGCAGGAAAGTCTGTAAGACACTTATCTCCAATACACTACTTGGAAAAAGTTGGAAGTGGCACTATGGCTCAAGTGACAGAGCATTAGCTTTGAGCAAAAGAATTTCAGGGATAGTGCTCAGGCCCAGAGATCAAATCCCAGGACCAGCAAAAATCCCCCAAATGCACAAACAACAAACAAACAAAAACAAAAACAAACCCCCAAAACAAAAACTAGGTGTTCACATATTCTTGGTAAAGACAACTGTTGTACAAGAAGAGACAGATTTTTGTAATGTTTACAGTACAAATGTATGAAAAGATGATTGATATGAAGAAATTGCAAAGCAAACTTTAACTCATGAGATGGTGACTGGTAACTAGTAATATTCCAGATGGCTAAAATTCCTGTTGAATAACCTTGATATTCTGAGTAGAAAAATTTCCCACATACTACTGAATCCCCTCTGTCTCAGTTCTATCACCTCCTTATAGAATTCCAATCTTCTGTCTTACTTTCTTGGTTTAGGGCCTTCCCATTTTAGATGAACAGTTCCAGGAATTTGAAGTAAACCCCTTAGACATTGGTTTGAGCCTGTTCTGGCTGCCATCTTTTAAGATTTTCCTGGGCTTCATACTGTTATCTGGAGGCAAGGTGTGTGAACTTTTGCTCACATGGAGCCCAGATGACCTCTGAAGAACTTGCTTCTTTGAGAAGGTAACTCGTTTTGAGACTATGCCAGGAGCTCTGCTCTGTACTTCTTATAATAATCAAAATAACTACAGCCAAAGCAACATGTAGCAAGATTTTGCAGTGTTACAATTAGCATGCAACTTGCTGTTCTGAGTTGTATCTGAAAAATGAACATGGAGAGGTGAAGGACCAGGTTACAGAGGGCAAAGTGACCTTAAGAGATTTACATGATATCTTCTGAGAAGCCAGAACCCATGGAAGTAGTTTAAACACAGGATTTCAGGGTGTTATACATTCTTGATGATGTCTGGACAGCATCATAAAAACCAAACATTGTACAGTATCACAGGTTTTCTGAAGCATAAAGTATGTTTTTCCTCATGTAAAATGATCTCAGTTTCTTATACATTTTAAGTTTTTTTATTTTTTAATATATTTTTTATTTTAAGATTTTTTTATTGTGAAAATACCGTTCAGGGGGGTTACAATTACATGAGCAAGATAATGAGTACATTTCTTATCAAGCATCATTGCCTCCTCCTTTGTTACCCCTTCCCATCCCTTCAGCACCAAAGTTGTAAAGTTCATTTTTCGACATAATGTCTTGTACATCTCATTGTTGCAATGGGTCCACCTGTATCCCTATTTAAACAATTTGTTTTTTACCTTCCCCTCCACAAATTATACCAACATCAAATACAATGAAAACAGGGGTTATACCGTGGGGGAAGGACATACAAAGCAACAAAGAGATCATCTTATAACTGTGTTAGAAACAATAACAAGCAAGAAAAAAACATTTGAGTCCTTATCTTGGGGTTCCTTTCACCTAACATCGACTCACCTGACCATTTCTACTTGCTTCAAACATATACTAATTATTGCAAATAAGGGAAAACATGGGACCTATGTTTCTTTGGGCCTGGCTTACCTCACTTAACATAATTTTTTTCCAAGTCTTTCCATTTCCTAACAAATGGGGCAATGTCATTCTTTCTGATGGAGGCATAGAATTCCATTGTGTATATATACCACATTTTCTTGATCCATTCATCTACTGAGAGGCATCTGGGTTGGTTCCATATCTTAGCTATGGTAAATAATGCTGCAGTAAACACAGTTGTGCTGGTAGCTTTAGTATGGTCTTGTTTGTGATCATTTGGGTAAATGCCCAAAAGTGGGATTGCTGGGTCAGAGGGGAGCTCTATGTGGAGTCTTTTGAGGAACCTCCATACTGCTTTCCAAAGTGGTTGAACAAGTTTACGCTCTCACCAGTAGGAACCAGTAAGGTTCCCTTCTGTCCACATCCCCTCCAGCATCTGTTGTTCTTAGAGTTCTTGATTATTACCATTCTAAGTGCGGTGAGGCGGTTGTTTTGATTTGCATTTCTTTTATGGCTAAGGAGGTTGAGCAATTCTTCATGTGTCTATTGGCCATCCTTCTTTCTTCTTCAGAGAAGTTTTTCATTAAGTCTTCAGCCTGCTTATTTACTGGGCAGTTGTTTCTTTGAGGATTTGTTGTTGGGGATTTAATTTTTTGAGTTCCAAGTATATTTTAGATATGAGACCCTTGTCCATTGTATGGTTAGTGAAGATCTCCTAATCTGTGGGCTTTCTATTGATCTTGCTAGCTATATCCTTTGCCATGCAGAAGATTCCTATTCTTCTAGCTTTCTTCCCTCACCTCACTATTTGCTGCCAAGTTCTTAGCTATTGCTTACTTATCTCATTCTAGTTTGTCTCCCTGGAGCAACCCCAGAATTCTTTTTGATTGATGGGTTTCTGGAAAAACAAATAGAAACATTTCTATTGCAATTCTACATCTATTCTGAATTGTTATTAAAGTGATTATTAGTAGCATATCAGTGCTGTCAATGCTCCACTCACTGAATACTCTGGCTTTGTGATAATCTTTACTTAGTTACTGAAAATGTTTCCTTCCCATATAAATTGAAATATCAACTGCTAGAAAAGTCAATCTAAGATAAAGTGTTTGGGATTATGATTGCACCAAATAAATGAGATGGAAAAACACAGTATGTTTTTTTATTAGGCAGATATATAGCTAAGAGACTCAACCAGGAAAGAATTATCAATATAGGATTTAGTATTCGGTGGCTCTGAGAAAAAAGTCTCTGAGATGTTGGTTACTTCATTGTCCAGACATTTTGTTGATGCAAGAGCTCAGTTCCACACTAGGGGCTTGATGATGACATATCCATTCACTTCATAGTGTAGAGCCTTCCAGTTTAGAATATTAGGATAGGTAGGATTGGTAGTACTACCCTGATATTCAAACAGGATCTCCTCTGGAGATAGCACGGAGTCCCACATGTCCAAATCCCCAATCTCTCCCACAAAAGACTGGCTCTTATCAAATTCCCCTCCAAAAGAATCCTGTTCCTGTCCCAGGACAATGCTGCCACGAGGTTCTATAGTGTACCCCTGCCTCAGACCCTTCTTTACCAATGGCTTCCCATTGATCCAAAATTCAACAATGCCAGTGGAGGACTCCCAGCTGGCACAGAGATGCACAGGTGAAAGGAGTGTTTCCATCACTTTAAATGTGACTTTCCTTCCTCCAATGTGTAGACTGTAATCTCCAGTTCTTTCTTTATAGATTAGTAGTTCGTTATCCTTGCCCTCAACATTGTAGGAGAAGAGGCTGTAGGCTCGGGAAAGGTCACTATAGGCTCGCAAACACAAGGTAAAGTTCTGCAAAGGTTTCTCCTGCTGTGAGATTATCTTCACATGATCACTTGAAGACTCTGTAGGGAACACAAACACCTTCCCACCGAGGTCTGTAAGAATAAAAATAAATAAATACAATAAGTAAGTAAATAAATTAGTAAAAATGTGACTTTCACCATAAATCAGGTAAAAATATTTGATTCATTTTTGTTCTTCATTTCATAGCTCCTTGACCATCCCTTGATCTCCCTACCTGTCTGAGTAAAGGCTTCAGAAAGAAGGCTGGTGAAGACAAAGATCAAAAGCATCTGCATATCCATCTTCTTGGGCTGGGACTGTGACAACCAAGACAGTGACTAGGGTGGCTGACAGGAACTAAAATGCATCCTGTAAAAGCCCAGGCAAACTCAGGCTTTATATGCATGTTGGGTGAGGATGGGGGATGAGGATACCAAGAAAGTGTGAATGATTTTCCAGGTCCTCCTTCTGGTTCCAGCAATCACAGCTGCTGGTGGAAAATGAATGGCCAGGCCTTGGACTGGGAAATCAATGACAGTTATTCATTAGGTACAAGTGACTGCCAGAGCTCCACTCCTGTTGCTGGGAAAAGGCTGGTTGCAGAATTTCAGGACTTTGGATGGGCTTGAGCAATCCCTCTACCTGAGGAATCTATGTTCTGCCAGGAGCTTTTGAGCTACACGGAGGGTCTCCCTGAGCTTAAGTCTCTGTGGACTCTGAGAATAAGGCTTTTTCTTCCTTTTACTAGTTTTATGATAAGCATTTCAGTCTGTAGGCTTTTCTGACATTCTACATCCTGTTGAAGACTGAAAAGTTCTTTTACCTTTGACTGACTCAATGTTAAGTAACAGGTCCAGGTGTTTGCTAAGGGGAAAATCATAGCTGGAATGTAAAAGTTTCAGTTTTCGAGAATCTTACTATTCATCTGCTTTTTTTTGCTCATATTCTTTTATGTATCGCTGTGCCTGCTTATTTTCCCATTCCTCATCATGACTACTTTTTTTTTCTGGTGACATACTCCTCATTCTCAATTTTCTCTCTTCTTCTTTTGCCAATGACCCTATCAATACATTAATAAATATATTAAATAAAAAGACATTACATTTGGTGTTGGCAGTTCAGTGGTGATTGACCTTCCCATAGTCCCAGTGACTTTCATTTCTGTTCTCTTTACTACTACTTAAAAAATAAACCCACCCTTGTTTAACCACCACCTCAAACTTTTATGCATCTAAGATATTGAACTGAAGTTTTCCTTTCTGTCAATATTATTTTCCTTGTCTCTCACCTCTAAATCCTATGGAATCTTCATGGTCATTTTGCCTAGCCTCTGACTAATTTTCCCCTCTCTCAATTCACTCTGACCTTCTGATCAGCCTTTTCAATGACATACTAACTACTATCAATAATTAACTTTCTCTATTATTGCTCAAATGATCTTTCAGATCTTGGTCCCTGAATAGTCTCTATTCTCTATTTTTTTTAAAAACTAAGATGTATGCCAGACCTATTGCCCAAAATGGTGAGTGGTATAGTTACATTTATATACATATGGTTCCATGAAGTAATTATAGATCCTTCTGTGTGGAAGCCAATGCCATCTCTAATCTTGCTCAAGTTGGCTTTTATCTCTTAATCAAATCCTATTTTCAGTCAAGCACATAAAATAGTTGTTGGGCATAGATGTCAGATTTTCCTGAGTTTGTTATTTCTATTCATTTACCCCCTATGATATTGATTTTTTCTCTCTTACCCATCTCTGTTTGTTGAACTCTTGTTTGTATTAGCTACCTTTAGCATAGTGGTGACCAAAATACCTGAGAGAACCACTTAAAGTGGGTAAAGTTTGTTTTGCTCATAGCTTCAGATGGTTTATAGCTTTTGGTTGCCTGGCCTGGAGTGCTTGGGCAGAACATCATGACAACAGTGTGTGAAGAAGGAGTTAGTCTACTTCATGGTGAACAGGAAGCAGAGAGGAGCCACGAAGAACCTGGGGCAGAATACCTATAAGCACCTGTCACCAGTGGCCTTCCTTCAGCTAGGTCCCACTTCCCTCCTAAAGTTTCTAAACCCACCCAAACTAATGCCACCAGCTGAGGATTAACCAGGACTCTATGGGGACATTTGATTTTCATATCATTACCCTGTTCTTCAAAACTAATCTCAGAAGTACTTCATAAGACTTTTCTGATGCCTTAAAATGAGAGAGAATTAGAGCCCCCCCCTTAGGTAGATGGGGATAAAAATGGCAGAAATAACACGTGACAGATAACATATGACCCATCATGACACTACTTCTTCCCATAATCCCCTAGGTTCCTGCTCAAAATGCTTCTTTTTTAAATATATTTTTATTGTGAAGATACTATACAGAAGGATTACAACAGGAGTAAAGTAATGAGTACATTTCCTATCGAGCATTGTTACCCCTCCTTTGTTTTTCCCCTTCCCAATATTCCCTGGGTTCCCATTCAACCAATAAAAAGAGCCAGGGAAGTACACAAGCTAACAATCAACCAGCACAAAGCCTGGGTGAGGAAATATGGGAGGAGCCCTCATACTATAATAACTACCCTCCAAGAAGAATCCATTGGACTTCCTCTCTATGGAGAGTCTGTTTCACTGTCTTCCTTTTTCTTTCAAATAAGTTTGTTCTGTATGGTTTAAACATTTTCCTTTTAATTCTGTAGTTGGAGGAAAAATAGACCTGTGACTCTGCACAGCATCACTAACTGAACATTATTTTTGTCTTCTATGGACTGGACTCCTCATAGAGTTAAGATCAGAGACTTTGGAGTAGATTTCCAATGTTTGTATTTGCTAGTGATTTAGTGATTAACTATCACGCAAGACACTAAAGCCTTCTAAACTTTAAATTCTTTCCCTCAGAACAAAACTATTTGCCTCATAGTGTTTCAAGGATGATAAATGAGGTAGTATAAAATGCAAAAGGTAGAATGTTGTCTAGATTGCATTTATTATTGTTGTCATTTCAAAGAATTTTATGGCTTTTACCATTGTTTGCCTCATACTAAAGATATTAGCATATTTATCTCTCATTCCCTCTAGATCAGAGATGGTTGTGGGGTATTGTTTATATTTGGGCCACTCATTTTATATACCACACTTTTGCATATGAAAGGAGCCTAGTGTATATTTATGGAATCAAAGGATTTAAGTGCATTCAGAGGATTCAATAGTTTGGTAAAGAAACATGGTATAGTAACAGAGTAGGTGAGCAGGCAATGCTGTTCAGAGAAGCTTGGAGGTTACCTTTATTGAGAACCCAGGGAATATGCAATTCCCAGTCCCAGATGTTAATTAATGAGTGCCATAAAATTCAGAAAATAGGGTTCACCAGCTGCCTCTAGTTTTCATCATAAATTAACAAATTATCATTCTGTCAACAAAAAGTGCTTTATTTAGAGATGAATGTGGAAGATCTCTTTTTCTGTAATGGGAATGGGTGAGTACAGCTAAATTCTGGGGGGATACAGGACATGGGAGAAGCTGGAAGTAAGGGGCTTAATACTGCTGTTGGACACAAGTGCCGGGGTATATAGAGTTAGGCTTGATAATGTTGTGTTTAATCTGTGTGAGAAAACAGTTTTGGCTGAAAAGTAGGTTTCCTAGAAGACTGGGCAAAAGGAAATATGAGTGAATCCTGATTTTGTTGGTTTGTTTTCTTTTCTGGAATATGTTTCTCAGGCTTTCATTCTAAGACAACAGCTTGCATTTCTGTGTTGTCAAAGTAGAAATCAAGGTTTCTTTCTGTCATCCAAAGGACAACTCCCATGTTAGGATACGGAAAAATGCGTCATGGGTCTTCTGAACTTAATGGAGCTCTCTAGGTGAACCAGTCTCTGCTATTGCCTGGAGGCTGTCAGTGGTTCTTCCTGTCTGCGTGGCTTCTGAGGAGTTGAATGTAAGGGAGAAAAAGATGACAGTGTGTTGAGGAGGAAGCAGGGCCACCCGTGTCCCTAAAAAGAGGTGTTCTGGTTTAATCAGTTGGCATGTAATAGAATTTTCTCCCTGAGCAGAAGGGCAAGAAAGCATTGATAGAGACAAAATGGGGTCTGACTCACACTAGCAAAAGGGCAGCAGCATAAGATGTAAGTGAAGTTTACCCAAAGGACTAAATAACACTTTAAAGTTACTTCCAATATCCTAAGTGTTTGTGAAAGAGAAAATATCACAGAAACTATTTCAAAAAGAGAAGAATCTAGAGTAGAATATGGGATAGTAGTAAAGATTTTAATACTAAGAATAAATTACTTTGTATTTTCTCATTTGTAAGGATATATAAGAACATTATAATTATCACTCTGATATGTGGATGCATAAAATCATAGGAATACAATCTCATATTGAGAGTGTTGTATAGAAAAGGAAAAGGAGGGAAGAGGTTGAGAATTAAAATAAAATAGAAGTATATAGAATGTGACACCACATTAGATTTGATTCCAAAATTGTAGTGCAGTTTATTTTGCTATAGCCAAATGGTCCAGACTGGGTAATTTATAAAGAATGAAGGTTTATTTAGATTATCATACTTGAAGGATGCCAGGAGCATAATGCTAGCATGAAGTATTCATAATTTACATGCTAAGGACCTGCTACATCAAAAGGACAACACAGTGGAGAGACAGAGAAACTATGCCAGAGAGTGAGAACCTGCCTTTACAACAAAGCCATTCTTAAGGTAAGCTAGTAATTCATGAATGACTACCATTTCCCCAAAGAAGTCCCACCTCTGAAATACCACTGACATATGACCTTGGGAATTAAGTTTCTAAAACATGACGTTTAGGGGGACACACTCAAATTGTAGATGAAATGAGTTAGGGAAATATGTTATTACTGCTGTGGATAAGATGATAAAAAGCAAGCTCATGTGGAGGGGATGAAGGGTAGGTGGTTAAGTGCAGGTCCCAAAGCACTAAATTTGAAACGATCAATAACATACACATAAAAAAGGCCAATGGAGATTTTGAAATATTTGACTGCCCCTTGGGATTGGAAAGATAGAGTTGAGAGAGGTGGACCTATTGTGGTGATGAAACAATGGATTATTAATTTCAGTGGAAGAGAGAAAGGGGAAAAGGTCAGGGAACCAGATGCTGACTTGGGGGGTCATTTGCATTCATGGGGCTGGTTGCAAGAGAAGAGTTGGGAGTGCCATGGAAAGGAAATCAGCTGCAGTTTTCCAGGAAGCTGTGTCCAGGGGTATTAAATGCACTAGAGAGATCTAAATAGAAAGGATGCTGTATTTGGCAATAAAATTTTCATTGGTGACCTTTGGAGGAGAAATTTTCA